TGCCACAGTGACCCGGTGACACGCGCACACACACACACCCGCGCAAGATTGGCCAAGGCGGCGATCGGGACCCGGTGGAGCGCTGCAACCTTGCTCACGACTTGGTCTCTTTGTCGCCGCTTGCGAGCCGGAGGGGGGGATCCGGAGTAGACAGGTGAGCTTGGGCTTGGCCAGCAGGCGACCTCTAGGTGGAGGAGCAGCTCTGGGGCCGGGAGGACCACTTGTCCCCATAACCCCCTCGGGGGAGGGGACTGAGATCCTCAACAGGAGCACATCTCTTGTTGCTCCCGTGTAGCTTGCTAAATGCCAATTTCTCACTTTTTTTCCTAAGGAACAGAGAGTTGGTTTATGATCTATCAATTGCAACTATTTTTCATTTTCCTTTTTTCTTTTTTCTTTGCTCAGCACTGAAAAAAGTACCACGGTAATGTCCCTCTTAAAAAAAAAGATGTGATCTTACCATACCTTATCCTTTCTTCAGGGGATATGTCGTAAAAACTCCCCTTTGCGCATCATAGAAGTAACTTGATCGGGATACGTTACTCCATCCAATGACTGAATAGGCTTCCGTTCTTTTTACGCAGCCTCCCTGAGGGTACCTGTGTTAGCCGAGTGAGCGCTCGGGATGATGGCTAAGATCAACCTCGGCGGAGGTCGCTTCTTTCGGATTGATCCATTCGGATTAGAAGTGACCGCGGGTTCAACGGCGGTGCCAGTAGGGGTGAGCAAAGACTTCTTTCGGCTTGACTGTGATTCCAGAATGGGTCTATGTGGGTGCAGGCTTCTCAATACAGTATTTTATTCTGCAATGGGTTCCTTCTGGATACATACGGCTTTCGGCTCTCTGTGTGTCTAGGCAGGGGTACAAAGAAACCTGAACAAATGTTGCTTTTGTCTTCACAGCCGTTTTAACCATTTAAACAAATGTAACTTATTTTTATATGCTGATCATATCGTTTGCTGTAAACCACCCAGAAGCATGCACCGCACCCATGGGGCAGTCTATAAATCTCAGAAATAAATAAGAAATGAATTAATTAGTTAGCTAGTAACTTTGCTGCTACACCGAGTATGGGATAGGTAGAAAGGAAAATATAAACAGTGTTTTGCAGCCCTAAAGCAGATTGTACATGAAACTGGAATGTTAAAATAGTAAATTAGAATTAAACGTTTTTGGTTGTTTGCAAACTTGGCACAGGACTGATAATTCCATTCCCCCCCCCTCTTTTTTTCCTTTTTACATTTTACTCCTTTTCTTCTCATCTTCCTTCTGCTGCTATAGTTTCTTGTTAGGTCGATATACCTTAAAGCATCTGAACTCTTAAGATTTTGCAGCTCATTGTCGTTTTGAAGGAAACTCCTCATTGCTTTCAATGGGGGCCACTTCTAAGTAGATGTATATAGGATTGCACTTTTAGATCCTGTGCCTGTTTACTTGGGAGCAAATGGCCTGAAGTTAGTGTGAGTCTCTTTCCGGTGTGGTGATTGGGGTTCAGCTTGTAACTTCAGCATTCCTTATTCTGCTTGGGGATAACAGCTCTCAATTAAATGGTTGGATTCATGTTGGTGAAAAATGTGGAACCACACTGGGCAAGGGAAATTTAAAACAAATTATGCTAATGCAGAACTGCAGCCTCATATTTCCATATTTCAGAAACTGCAAAAATAAAATAAAATCCACATCTCAAAATAAGAGTTCAGTTTCTTTGCCTAATAAAGCATGCCCAATATATAATATATACAGTAATATGTAATATATATAGACATGTATGTATATGTATGTATATGTACATGTGTGTGTAGAGTTTGCCGTGTACTTAAAATAAATCTGGATCTTTTTCAATTAATTAATGAAAATCTCCTTAAGTAAAACTGGTTAAGTCGAATCTTCCAAATGTTCTCCTGAGAAGAGCTTTTATTGTGTATATATTGCGGGGCAAGATAAGAGAGAATATGGCTATTGTCTGAAGGTGTTTTTCTGAATTGATTTTGTAGCCTTATTATTAACAGCCTCCGAAGCAGACTCTTCTCTCCAAGATTGTTTAAGTTCCTTGAGAAGTATGCAGTCTTTTCACAAGCTGGCTTCCCTGGCATTCTTACATGTTCAATCCACACAGGTGTGCACTTCGATCAGTTTTCAGCTCTTCGTTGTGTCACCAAGCTAATTTTTTTCTGCTGCTCAAAATCTCGCTTCCCGTCACCTCTCCAAAGCCGTGGTCAGAATCCCCCCCCGGGGAACGCCCTGCTGCTCCCCGTGTGAGCGATCCCTTTGCAAAGTTTCAATACATTTTATATTCTGTTCATGCGCGCGCATGTGTGTGGGGGGGGAGCGTGAGAGAAACGTAAAGGTAACTCCATGTGTTTCTTGCTCCTTGCTTCTCATAGGAAAAAAGAGAAGACATCAACCATCTATCCAGTGATCTGGAGGAAAGAGGGAAGAGATTACTTGTGTGCTGACATTCTATCAGTGACTGGCCTTTTGCTCAAAAAAATAAAATACAATGGACTCTTATTACATCTGCAAGCGTCTGCATCCTCAGTTTGATGAATGAAATGTAGCTCGGTGGGTCTTGCATTTTGGCTGACGAAAATGTCGGTTTGCCAGTTGTTCTCTCCAGCGTTCTTCTGGGCTAAGCACTGCAGTTTTAAAAGCACTGTAGATCATTTTTTTTTTGAGTTATTGAAACATTTAGCCCAAGCTTCCTTTGGCTATGGTTGTCACCTCTGCTTTTTGTCAAATTGCAGATTCATTTCTTAAGGATGTCTCTATTTTTCTGCTTTGTCTGCACCTTGATAGATTCAGGCAGAGCAAGACTTTCCTGGGCAAGGAGTGGGTGTTTAAAGTACACAGAAAGAGACAATGCACAAGCGCACGAACACAGAGAAAGGGTCTAAATCTAATTTTCTTTTATGGGGCTTGTTCTGCTGCCTTTGATCTAAGAAACACAAAACCCCAGGAACTTGACTCAGAGGCTTTTTCCCTTGGAAGAATACAAGGTGACCAAAAATGTGTGGTCATTTGTAGACGTTTCACTCCTATTGTGAAGGAAACAGCATTTTTCTTGTCCTGCTTCAGCTACTGTACATATTAACTCTAAATTTATTGCGTTCTTTCCAAATTAGAGAGGAAGGCTTCTGAGGAACCCAATGGCCAAAATCCTGTTGCTTAGTGTAGTAAATTGCACTAGAGTAGGACCATTGAATCACTGGGGTTGAATGCATCAACCTTCCTCTGCAAGTTCCATTGATTTCAATGGGCCTACTCTAGTTGGGACTTACCACGCTAAAGGAAGTCACAGAATAGGCCCAAGTGGAACGTACGGAGGAATGGATTCACTAAACAATCACTGATTTAATCATCATCATCATCATCATCATCCTAAACAATCACTGATTTAATCAACATCATCATTCTTTATTATGGTTGCAGACCAGCAAGATTATAAAAAGACAGAACATACAGAAAACTCCTGTATGGAGTATGTGAATCTTTCTTTCAAGGTGATTGCAACACGTCACTGATTTAATGGGTCTCGCCTACTATGCTAAGCAACAGGTTTTGGGCCATAATACTGTATATATATATATTTTGTTTGTATAGCAAATCTGACTCCTTCCCTTAAAAGCCGGCATTCTTATCTCCTCTTACAATGGCTGTTTTCTACACATTTCATTTGGTTTGCATATTTGGGTATTCTACTTCACTAGTGTTCATAATTTTTCAGATTTTTGAGATTGCTACAGTTCATCCCAATCACTGTATAATGAGCTGCTTGATAGCGCAGTGTTTTAGGTCTCTGGCTGTAGAGCCAAAGTTTGGGAGTTTTGATTTCCCACTGGGCTTCCTTAACAGGGGCTATACTTGGTGGCCCATCAGATCACTACCACTATTATTATTATATGCACGTGAAGGGAGCTTGTGTAATTTCTTCTAATTACATCCAAAACACCAAGGAGTTTTTGTAGTGTCTGGAAGATGATGGTGATGATGATTATGACAACAACAACAATTTCACAGGGTACCCTAAGCAGTTGCAATTCCAGGAATAACATCATCAGAGCTACAAAAAAACCCTGCAATATTAGGAACAGTATATGTACGACATCGATATTTAACAGATACTTAGGTTTTTGGTTAAAACGTGTTTCTGTTATATAATACCAGTCAATGTTTCAATACTTTTGATTGACCGTGTCTGGTATCTTTCAACCACAACAATAATAATGTGCTGTCATTTCTGACTTGTGGGGACTAGGGATGAGCGTGAACCACTAGTTTGGCAATTTGTTTACTGGCCGAACATGTGTTTTTCAGTTCCCCGCCCTGCCTCCTCCAGCAGGTGCCCACCCAAAGGCAGTGCTTGGAGGAGGTAGGGCAGGGAAGCCAGTCTGCTGCCTCTGAGTGGATGTCCACCAGAGGAGGTGGGGCTGGGAATGGACAAACATCTGTTTTGCCGGTAAACGAACCCACACGAATCACAAGACTGGCAGCTCCTGCCCATCACTAATGGTGACCCTTTTCAGGGTTTTCCAGGTGAAGACTACTCAGAAGTGGCTTCCCAGTCCCTTTAGCACAAACAGTTTTCGTTTCTGTTCATTGTTATAACGCAATCATCTTCTTTGTTCAGCTTTTGCTTGATGGGTTAATAGGGCGACCTCTTTGGAAAGGGGAACCGTGAGGTCACATCAACCAGAGATCGTTTGGGCTTTCAGGAAGGAAATTTGCATTTCCGAAATTCAAGGTTTTGTGCTGTTGGTGGATATTTTTGTTCCGAATAACACTGCGGATGATTTATTGGGTAAAATCAAGCTCCTTCTGAGATTTTCTCTCCGTCTGCAACATTCTGACACAGCATGCAGACTGTACTGCTGTAACATCAAACCTTCCATCATCATCATCATTATCACTGCAAGCATTGTGTAAAGTTGGGCAAGAAGAAGACACCGATAGTCCAGAAAGTTTGCACAGGAAATGTTTCAGCCTCCAGCTCTTAGAGTTCCTCTAGAATGCAGTATTTCCATTCTAACCTTGGGGAAACTGAGGCAGAAAGAAAACAACGCTGAATACACATGCTGTTCCCACTCAAGAATTTAGGGTGAACACTATGCCTTCTGGTCTGAGCCGATCCTTCAGACACCATCTCTTTCTGTCAGCTGTTTGTGTGTGCTGTTTAAATTTTACAGCTGTGATTAAGAATTTTTTAAAAAAAGCTCAGCCTTGTAAATAACGTGTTCTGAGTGTGAAGGTTGATGTGAAGATGCTGAGGTGGCATTATGGGCCATGGCAGTATATACAGTATACAGTGTTTGTTTGTTTGTTTGTTTGTTTGTTTATTTATTTATTTATTTATTTAACTTATATGCTGCCCACACTACCCGAAGGTCTCTGGGCAGCTTACAGCATTTAAAATACAATAAAAAGACAAAATAAAAGGGCAAAATAATTAAAAGGCAATTAAAAATATATACTCTAAAAACTGCCATGAGACCCACAGCTGATATTATTTCAATATATAAGCTGCTTTACATTTTTTCCTTGTACTTCTTTGACAAGAGTATATAAGTTGCTTTAAATTTTTTCCTTGTACTTCTTTGACAAGAGTTGCGAAATTTGCAGAATGAAAACTTGAAGGAACTTTGTTGCTTTGAGCAGAGAATATTATGTAGGGAAAGAACAAGCTTAATGTGGATAAACTATAATTTATTTTAATAGAAGACATTCTCCTTCATGTACTCCCTTTCTTTAAATAATAAAAAAACACATCCTGGAACATTTACTTAAAAACAGGTCGGACAGGGCTTAAAGGAACTCTTGCTTCTTCTGAAAATTTGCCTAGAATTTGCTGCAGAAAAACTTAAGAACAGGATGTCCTGCCTCTTATTAAATCAATATGTCTGTTGCTGAGTGATAGATGTATTGAATACGTTGCCCTCTGAAGCAGGTGTAAAACTAAGAAGGCTTAATCATTGGTAGCAATCACCCCTCCAGGGAGTGGTTTCATTGCCCTTCCTAACTAGTTAAACTGTGGAAGGTTTGCCCTTGGTATTGGAGGGATTCCACTGGGTTTTATTTATAACAGGTAAATAAATAAATCCGGAGAAGATTTATGAAGTTTGTCTTTGCTGTTTCTCAAATATTGCTAAACTATGTCTCTTTGTTCTACATTTTGGAAGTAACAACATGGTATAACATAGGGATAGGCACACATCAAAAAAATTGTGATTTGTTTTGCTTTGTGATTCGTCAAGGTTGACAAATCATAAATTATGAATTTTTTTTCTGATCAATCAATATGTAAATTCATTTTTTCCCCTTTAAAACCCTATAAAATGGCCATTCAAACACCTAGAGACATCAAATTTGAAGGGAAGCTTCCCCTGACTCTCCTCTACAAGTGCTGGATGTTTGACAAAGTTTTCACCAAACTTTGAGGGATTGTAGAGGAGAGTCGGGGGAGCCGCCCTGAAATGTTGGTGCCTCTAGATGCCTGGGGGGCTGTTTTACATAAAAACAAATTGAAGAATCAAAAATCACTCAAAATTTGTTGATTCATATTCATTTAGGTCATTGATTCATATAAATACGAATCAATGACTTAGTTGTTTTTCAATGAATTTGGTGATTTTTAAATTCGTGCCCTTCTCTAGTATAAAACTAAATCCATACATATTTCATACAGAACACTAGATCTAGTCTGATTGATAGACAAAATGAAACAAATTGAAGAATCAAAAATCTTGAGGGACAGCAAAACAGTTCCTGCCCATCATTGCATCAGCTGTTCACCCTTAGCCCCTCTTCTCTGTCACCGGACAGAACTATGGGTGGTACACAATGTGATCTGGACATCACCGTGTCATATCAACCTCTGCTATCCCAAGATTTGGGCATGCTCAGAGCATCTCTATACCTTAGAAGAAACCTCCTCTTGCTCTCGATTTATTGGCTGATTCCATGCCAGGAGAAATAAGTGGTGGGGGAGATAGTGGGGCCAAAATGTAGAAAGCTTTCTATTATAGTAGTTTTTGCTATTATTCCCTGGAACTAAAAAAGATCATGCCTTGTCACAGTACTCATTAAGTTGCTCTTTACTTTTCATTACTGCATCAGTAATTACGGCCAATTACATGGAGTAAAAATAACAACATTGTCACAAGGTTACATTCAAGGGAAACATTGTTGGCCTGTAATTACACTTCAAAGTAATATGTTACAGGTAACGTATGGGTATTACTTGTAGTGTGTTAACTTCAAACTCTAGATTGACCCCTTTTTTGTTCACTGTCTTATTACATTGTTTTAAAAAACCAAGTTGGCATCTTGTTTTTCCAGCCAGAACCTTCAGGTGGTATGTCCGGGTGACCCTGTTTTGAGATCCTTGTGAAGCAGGAAAAGTGTTGTGGTTCACGACTGAGATAGGACTTGATGTGGTGTCTTTCTTCATCAGTGCTCACACTTGAGTGACCCCATAGTGCTTGGTCTCAGGATTTTCTTGACAATGGTTGGTCTGGAATCC